CCCCAAAACCCCAAAACCCCAAAACCCCAAAACCCCAAAACCCCTTTAAGTTACATAAATATTGGAGTATAAATAATGGATCCTGACTTAGAAGCATATCAATGCTATGTCATTTGCGAAGATTCTCGATTTTGCAAAAACGCAAACCCAGATTGATACTGGCAAAACCATTACGACGACCTTGCCAAACAAGCTGATGATTTTTGATACGATTCAACACCAAGCGATTCAGAACATCCCAACTACGACCATCTAAGCCCCTACAACACCCACAATTCCTCAGATTCCTCCTCTTCCAACTCTTTCCCCTTCACCTCCAGCTCCTCTGATACCCTCACCAACCCTAAAGGTAAGCTCTTCCTTTCCACCTCCAACCCCCCCAAATTCCCAATCTCTTCACATCCCCTGCTTCAGTCTGGGCTCCTTCTCCTGTCTCCAAGCCTGAGCAGCTCCCAAGCTGCTCAGGCAGGCTTAAGAAGCCTTGCTGAGCGGACAGGGCTGACTGGAAGTCAGAAGGATCAGGAATTTTGGGTAAAATGAGTCAGGATAGGAGATTCGGGAAAATTAAGTTTGGAGTTAAAAGTTTTTGAGTGCTAAGTGGATTATAGGGTTATAGTAGAGTCTCTTGAGAATGAGTTGTTGGGACTTGAGCAGAGATTGGAGAAAGAGGAGAAAGTAAGTGTCAAGGGGTTATTTTATAGATTTTGGAAGTGAATAAGAGGAAAGAAGGGGTTATTGAGAGGTTAGAACAAGAGTTAAGTGAGGTGAAGCAAGAGACGTAAGGAGTTTAGTGATTTTTAGGCAGGAATTGGATTTTAGTCAAGTTGAATTAGACCAGAAAGAAGCTAATCTTGCCAAAAAGCAGGCTGATAAGGTTGAGAGAAAATATAACACTGCTCAAAGAAGAGCTCAAGCCTATCAAAAATAAATGAATAGAAAGAGGATTACTGACTGAAAACAACAGCGAATCACAAGAAAATTACACAGAAAAATACACAGAATTACAAAACACCTTAAGAAGCATACTCCACTCAACCCCCGCTCAAAACCCTAAAGTACCTCATCTCCTACACCTCCTCGACATCAAACCCTACAAACCCTCTCCTCTCTAAAATTCCAAAGTCCCAAAAATTCATATTTTCAACTACACTCCCTGCGCTCGGGGTTTTGGGGTTTTGGGGTTTTGGGGTTTTGGGGTTTTGGGG